ACTCATTTTTTTTTCAATGTTTTTTCAATGATTTTTTTCCCAATTTTTTCCCAATTTTTTTTTCTCAGAGCACTACCACCCAACTATGCTGGCAGTCACAAGCGTCCGTAGCCTAGTTGGTAAAGGCAGCACTCTAGTATGTGTCTCAGCTTAGCTGAGGTTGTGAGTTTGACTCTCACCAGACACATCTTGACTTTGTTTGTCTCTACAGTAAAACCCATCCCCATAATCATACAAAACTCAAAATTTCAATTTAAAGCAGTGGGGAGAAAATGCACTGAATACCATATTTGTATTGTCCCAAATTCTGATACAATGCAAAGGTATTTTGAACTGTGTACTTGCCGGCTGAGTACAATGTACTTGTATTGTATTTGTAGATGAGGGTCATACAATGTACTCGAATACACACGTACTCAACACAAAGTACAATACAATGTAGTGCAAGTACGATACGCGTATTGTCATGGTTGCATTGTTGGTATTGGTATTGGATTGCTCCACCCAATCCCAGTTGTCCAATAAATTGGGATTGGAGTGGAGATTGATCCATAACCAATACCCGGTATTGGGCCCATTTTTGATCTGATCCCCAGTAAGTACCAATCCGGGGATCAGATCAGTTTCATTGTTGGTCACAGTTCACTTGAGGGTTGACCCAACCCACTTTCATCCTGAGTCTCAACTGTTAGTATTCATGTGTTTCAGCTCTCTGTTTTTCCTTTCTCATTATTAGCATATATCATGTCATACTCTTTAGTCATTATTAGAATATGTTTATACTCAGTTTGTCACAGATTTAGCTTGTTTTATTTTATTATTTAAAGCTTGAGTTTGTTCATCCAGAAATACAAACTCATCGAGTCTTTCCCTCTTTGACTCTTTCACTCATCCATTAACATCAACTTTATTTAAAAACCAATTGGAGTTGTTCTTTTGAAACCTCAGAGTTTCACTACTTGCTCAAGATCAAGACTCAAGGCTCAAGATTTCTAACTTGTTTTCTCAAGACCTACCACTGTAAAATCATAACTTCTCCCACTCTCCCAATCACCTGATCTAATCTCTATCATTTCTCTTTGCTCCTCAACATTGATACTCAACTTAGTTAAGCTGCCTAGTTAGGCACTCTCATTGCATCATGCCCACTCAACATGTTGTTTGTTAATTTCTCTTTTTCTTCCCTTGTCTCTTGATCTTCCTTATTCTTTTGTTCTTGTTGTCTATTGTTCAATGATAAAATCACTTTTCTTCCTTCTTCCTCATTTATATTTCTCCCTTTCTTTTCCTTCTCAGTCTGCTTCTTCTAAAACTCTGCTTCCTTACTTCACTCCCAAGTCATCTTCTTTCAA